ATAGTTAATTATGAATAATTTTCTTAAAATTTACATTAATTTTCAACGATTAAAATTAATATCCATTCAACAATTATATATTTCAATGTAGTAATTATAATTATTATAATTATTATTTCTCGTAGGTATGTATTGTTGCAATAACAGTTATGATAAATACCTGTCTGTTGAAGTAATCTCCATTTTCCGGGGAACATTTGACTTCGCTCACGTCCTTGATGAGGTACGGATATTTGATCAGGAACTCCTGAAATCCCGGTGTAATCTGGCAGTCACATCTCCACGGATTATTCCCAAGATAGAGGCTTGCCGCTGTTTGGCTGTGCGGCAAAACATTCTCCAACGCGTACGTCGCAAACTACGGGTGGAAGTGTAATTGAAAGACGCTGTGAGACTGGCTCAAATTATTGTATGGAGGAAAATCGTTTGATCAAAGGATACAAAAAATTACATAACACGATTTCATCTTAAAAATACGTCAAACTGGTAAATATTTTTATCTATTTAAACAGGTCTATCAGATCATCCATACGCTTGTGTGAATAATATTAAAAGAAAATTGTAATTTTTGGATAATGCAAAAGTTACTTAATTTGTCATTAGTTTACCAAAGTTGAGAATAGTTATCACGAAAACTTTCAATCAACTGTTAAAACGATATTACGTATGAAATTAATAAATTAAAAAAAAAAAAAAAAGAAGAAGAGGCATTGTTTACACACGTCGGTCATTTTATTACCGCGCAGACTGAGGAGCCTAAAGTGCTCGAGCCAGAAGGTGCCGTCCAGTAAGCCCACGCACTCCACCTCGTTATCGTCCAAGTAGAGATCTATCACGCTTTTGTATACCGGATTTATTTTGAGAGGCGTCAAGTCACTGATCTGTAAGCACAATAACTGTATTAAGTTGTTGAAGGAACTATGCACTTTTGGAGTCAATGAAAAAATTTATTCGAAATCTTTCGGAATCATTTACAGTCATTTAAAATCATTTATAGACTTTAAAGTCATTAGAAATCGGCATAAGTTTTGCGATTAAAAAATCTTTCTTTGAAAAATTTCTATGTAAATGACTTCATGGTGATAAAATATAAAATAATTCTAAGGACTTTAAAGCCATTTAAAATTTGAAGGAGCCTTGAAATCAATTAGAAACTTTATCAGGACTTTTAATTGAGCCTAACTTCAGATTTTCTTGATAAAATAATTTCATCCCGTCATCATATTTTTTATAACTTTTCCTGTCTATATTTTTCAAATTACTTATTAATTAAGAACCTCATCAAAGTGAGCTTCGAAAAACATGGTGATCATCTTTACGAATCCCTAAGAATATTTTACCTCACTATTACATACAAGAAAATTACCAGCACATCAGAACAGCGTTTAATAACGTCACGCTGTATATGTTACACCCCTCACATTCCTGTGTTTGTTAGTATCTTACACAGTCCCTAGTAGCCAATCCGCCTCTTCATCAGCCTCTCTATCCTCCTAAGCGTCTGGATACCCTCAGGCTATCAGAGTTAATCCCAGAGTAACCTCCCACATGTAGACACACATACCTGGTTACCCTCGAGGTGGAGGGTTGTGGTATTAGCTGGCAGAAAGGCCGGCATATCGGTAAAACCACGATGGCTGCAGTTGACAGTAGCAAAAGCCATGAATTGCCGCTGATGCTGACGAGGAGAAGTCTGTTGCTGTGTCTGCTGCTGTTGGCTCATTGGGCTGCCGTTACTACCACCACCGAGGGTTGCGCTGTTCACGACGTACACGAGCTCGCAATCGCAGACCACCAACTGCTGACACTCATCTTGTAAACGCTGTTGTGGGCATTTATTTCGTGAGCACTTTAATTTTATGAGTGGCCTTTTAAGTCGGTCGAAGTGGTTGAGATATCGATTGACAGGGAAATCATATTTTATGTTTCCTTTTTAAAAAAATTTTGTGCATTAAATATCAAGGAGAAATGTTAAAGCGTTCCCAAGAATTGTCATTTTCAAAACTATGTGTGTTTAACCACGAAAATAGTGAGTTAAATGTTTTTTTTGTTTAAAAAAAAGTATTACTATGAAAAAAAAAGTGAAATGTTAATTGGTTTTAAAAAATAATACAATTTTGTGTATTTCATGGGTTGTTAGATCTTTGGTTAAATGCAATATATTTACATGATGTTAATACATTAAATTCTTTTGGAGTTTTTTGAATACTGAGCATATTAATACATCAAGAAATTATTAAATTATTTTCACTCATCGTTCGATGGTTCACAATTGAATCAAATAATAATATAGAAGAAAATGATAGTGCATATAACAGCATAAAATACCATATTTGACTGTTAAGCATTACTTTTTTGTTTTTTTAAAAAAATTTACAGCTTGAAATAACAAACCTTGTACTAGTTCAAAGTAAAGTATTTTTATTACTTTTTATAGTTTAATACCACTAAATTTATCATGAAAAGAGTAGAAAAATACCCTCAAAGCTTTGTACTCAACTTTTTAGATTATATTTCACGTTGTCAAAAGGACTGATCGATACATCGACTAGCAGCAAAGTGAAAACTAAATGAAGAATTCATTAAATTTTTATTATTTTTACATCTAAAATAAAGTCTATTTTTATTTTCGTTGCCTTGCCGCTACAAGGTTTTTTTTTATATAAAAAAGTTGGTACAGAAAAGAAACGAGCGAAAAATCGTTACGATCTAGTACTATCAAGCTTATTGCATCAATTGTACCTTCCGTTACTACACGAGCAAAACAGAGAGGACCTCATAATTACCTGCATGACTTCCATAACAAAGAGAAGTGGCTTGCCTTTGAACGGGGACCAACAGCGCATCTCGTCTCTGTCAACTACGCGCTCCACTAACGAGCCGTACGAACTATTTACCAGCCATACCGAATTTTCGTTGCACGTCCATTGATTTCCTTCAAGCAATCAGTACATATACATTATCAAAAGGACGACCATTATTAATTATAGTTTAATTATTAATTCAGAGAACATTAATTTACGTGTTGGAACCTTTATTTTTCCACCAATAATTGATGAATAGAATTTTTGCCGAACTTGCATAAAAGATAGAAAAAAAAAAAAAAAATTGGAATCCGCTATGGACAACGTGATACGAAAATATTAATCTGGTGCATAAAAATTAGTTGAATAATAAACCCAATTCTATGTAAGACTCAAAATATCATATTTAATTTAAAATCTAAATTTTTTATTTTAATCAACTTTTCAATTAAGCAATGAAGTATTTTCGTGTACATTTAATATGCCTTGCATCATCGATATGAACCACGATAATAATCTTATCATAAGTAAGAGTTACTCTTCTAATTAAATTTCATAAAAAATGACCTGTGAATTAATTCACTAAGTATAAAACTTACAAATATAAAAGATCAAGTAATAAAAATATAAAAGTTATGTATCCACAGAAAATATCGTAAAAGACGCGAGATGCAATCTTTTTTCATTCGTTAAAAATACTCCATCTTAAATTATACTTTTTTTTTGCGCACAACAAACGCCGTACGAAACAAAATATCACCACAATTTTTGTACTATACCAAACAAAATCCACATTGCTAACCAGCAGAACTCGAATAGTTCTCAAGAAGCTCGTTTGCCAATAAAATTCCAACAAAAGACACGCCACGTCGCACCTCAGAAACCGTATATGCTTGCCTCTCGCAAGCTCAAAGCCCTCCAGTAGAACGTATCCAACAAACAATATCTCGCACGGAGAAATTTGAAGAGAAGACACTTGCATCCGTGCAAGCTCGAAGACCTAATATATTCCCTCCTTGGAAATATAACTATATGTGTACAGAACCCACCTGCCAAATAGACGTCGCGTAGCTTTGGCACAGCAATCAGGTCGTCGGGGTCGAGGTAGCCGAGGGCATTGTTGCGCAAATCGAGCGTCCGGAGCTCGGGCAGTCCGGCAAAGGTGAACTCGGGCATCGCACGTAAGCTCGTGCCGCTGATTTCCACGACCTATTGCACATTGCACGTGTATACATATACAGGTGTAGTATACCTACATGTATGTATGTATGTATATGTATGGAGAAGCGTCAGTATCAATTTGCCTTTCGTGCCAGGCTGCAGAGTATTCTCCGCAGCAATTGCACGTATAGGCACACACGTACGGACGACTCGTGCGTGAATGTAACGTGCCTCTTAATGAGGCCTCAATTACAGAGACACTGTTCCCCTAATCTGTTTGGATCCACGTCTCTTCTTCCTCCCATAAACACCAACTTGGGTCATGAAAATTCACATTGTTGTTGGTGATGTTTAACACAGACGTTTAGAGTCATGTAATATACTTACCTACTTTACCATTATCATTTCAATGGTATTTAAGTGTTATAATATATTTTCCCTCTTTGAATTTAAATTCATAAAATATACCTCATAACTAAAAATATTGAGAAAATCGTGATTTCTCGATTCTGATTACCTCAAGAAGTCGAGCGTCCTCGGGAAAGGGTGTAACTATCCTTTGAAGATTTCCATTGAGGATTGATAAGCGGCGCAGCTCGGGCAGACCTCCAAGAGCCCTCGCTGCGTCAAACTCCTCGTCTCGCCAATTGAGAACCGTTAAACCGCTTACCGTCTCCAAGCCAAAGCTGCCACTGATGCTGCAAGAGCGTTAATCACAAGCTAGGACCTTGACGTGCTGGTTTTCTTATACTTTTTTTTTTTTTTTTTTTTTCTTTCTTTGCCTACTCTACCGCTAATTTATCTCTTGTGAGCCGTGGTTAGCGCTTACTTAGCCCGTTTTCGGAAAATTTGTTTGATGAGCGTTTTGTTTCTGCTCGATCATTCTTTTTTTTTTTTATATCAGGTATCTCCAGTATCAAATGTTTATTATAACTTTTTTTTTTCAATTCAAGTGACTGGCTTTTTTACAACACAAAATCGAGCAGACTCACATTCGCAACATCTTTAAAATAGGACGACTTTACGATGCAACAGGTTGATTAAGGAATTAATTGAGTATTTAGTAATTTTTCGTTACCCTTCAGTAAAGGAATACGGCAGTCCGTGTAAACAGACGAGCTCGCGCGTCTGGTTGCCATCGGGCATCACGCCAGCCACGGATTTACACTCCGGTGAGCTATCGGTGGTCGTTTCTTCGTGAGCCTTACAGGCGAGCTTCCAGGTTGACAGGGAGCTGAAAGAAGCGAAGGTTCCACATCAGTCACGCTTTTATTATCGTTTGAAACATTATTAGCTTGCGTGTATTGATACGCGTCGATTGGATGCATCGTTTGATGCTTGGTCGTATTATGTCTTGTAAAATATTTTAAGCTTGCTTCGTGTACTCTGAGTGACCTGATTCTTCGAAGAAAAGGATAAAAAAAAACCAGCGACTGAGAGAAATAGACCTCAATTTTTTATTCAAGAGAAATTGAATAGTGAATACTAAAGATATCTGCTAAATATCTGCAGTGACAGCACTGAGAAGAAAAGTCTTGTTGATCGAGAGAGAAAAAGATTCGCTCGTAATAGAGAAAAGGAGACTTGGAAATCACTTAGAAAAAATGACAAGAAGTTACTGGCAATCTATTCATGTTTAGCACGGTTGTTTGATAACGTAAGTAACATTCAATATAAGAAACACATAAGGCATGTGTTATGGCCAATTAAAAATAAAAGTGATATTATTACCTTAGTAGCTTTAAGTGTTCTTTGATAGTACAGTACAACAGAGTTACGCTAGGCTTTATGTACATCAGTATAATAATTGCTTACATTAACTATTAATTATAAAATTAAAATTTAATTTAATACTTGTTACTCTGAAATTTCGGTGTAATACTTGAGGACCCTATAATAGTACAATATTCAAATGTAACCTGTCACTGCATCATGCGAGGGTCTCCTAAAAAAGCTGCAGTGTAATACCCAAAAACTAATTTCATTTTTTTTTATTGGAAATACTTGTTAGGAAATTACTGAAAAGTTTTTGTTATTTCCAAACACAGTGTTGACGAATTTCCATATGCCATCTTAGACATCTAAAGTAAATATCAGACACTATGATCTTATAGCAGTCAAATAATTATTAACTTTCACCAAAATCTCTTTGTTTACATGTAACTTATGCACGTCAAGATAAAAATCTTTGTAGTTTCAACTGTCAACTAAATAGTCCACGAGGAGAAAGATGTAAAGTGAGAATAACAGAGAGGGAGAGGTAGAGCAAACAGAGTACCATCAAAGTTATCTTATCGGTAAGTATATTTATTTTCTTCTCAACTGAAGTATTTGGAAGCAAACACGTCATAATGTGCTACCGTTGAAAGCCTCAAGTACCAGCAATTGCGACTAAAATTGATAGATATTCTCGTGAAGCTGCAGGAAAATATAGATTCAACGAAATGCACCACCTATGTCGCATTATTTGATGAAGATAACGATGGAATCTAATATAGTTGTTGACCGTAGTGATCGTGGGGTTAAGAAAAATTAGTTCAAGTTTTTAAGTTAAGTTAAGTTAAGAATCGGTCATTAGCAATTCCTTAAAGTACATTATCATTTATTATCAATTTGTTCTTAAAGACAATTTTGATCAATGCAAATATTTTATATAAAGTATTGTTACTGATATTCTTGATTTTGTAGCCTCAGTTCTGAATTGGTTGCATTAAAAATCTTAAGATAAAATTAGTCTATCTCATTTTGAATAGCCACTCAATCTTCAGTAGTTTACAAATAACGTTTATGTAATGAACTGCAGGAAAAGATTTTTTGTTGATAAGTGTATTGTGTATTACCTGGATCATTACTATATGAAAACGCTGATGCTCACGTTTTCTTTTTTTTTTTTCACTAATATGCGTTAGAATTTACAAGAATCTTAATAAGTCTGTAAAATATAATTAATTTCACGCATGATATAACCGAAGATACGTAGTGTAATCAGCAAAGACGTTCTCGTTGAATGATCAAAGGTAATGAGCACATGTCAAAATGTAAACTAAAACCGATTATACACGAGAGATGGTGAAAAAAATTTTAGTACACGCATTCATGTGCGATAAAATCGTCAAGAAGCTTATAACAAACGAACCGGAGAAGACACTTTTATAACGAGATGAGAATCATGGAGGATTTATTATTTTTTTGTAGACACAAGTTGTTATCTGATAAAGATGTACGGTAAAATTTTCAAAAGGTAGCATCGTAGAGAAATGGAGACGAAAAAAATTATGACAAACCGAATGAATGAATAAGCGCGTGGTGGATAAGTTTGCGCGTATGATAATCAGTCGTACTGAAAAAATTTCAAAATAAATGCTCTTATCTTTGCTACTTATCAAGACACGTACATTCCCCTTAGTCATATTACTTCAAAGTCACAATATATTTCACGTATCTTTGAGTGACTCTAATCTGAATCTAATCGTACCTCGAATTAAAAAACTGTTGGGCCTCGAAACCTTCCCACTTCGTTGACTGATTGTCCATTGCAGCTCAAAACGTGATTATGTACAGTGCTACAATAAAGTACACTACCACAAAATCTGTCAAGTTAAAAAAAAAGAATAACTCTTCTGATGAAAACATAAAACAACTCACATTAAAACAGATACTATCAGAAAGTTTTCCATCCACATCTTTGTCAACTTGTTCTCAAAAGATACACGTACCAGGAGCCTTTTAGTACGCTCGGAAAAGCTCCGTTTCTCTCAATCACTACAAAATCACTTCTTCGCGCTCACATGCAAACGCACGCACTATCAGCGAGTGAAAAAATCAGCCAGGCAAACTCTCACATGTTCTCGCGTCTTCGACAAAAAGGAGATTTGATTGCTGAGCTCATTATACTCAAAAAAGAGAAGGAGTGTACTGAGATGTGTATGCGGTACACCTGCTAATCCAGCCGGAAAACAGTAGGCAACTCGGCGTGGAGACGCCGAAAGCGAGCGCCGCACGCTGATGCGAAAATTCATTAGCATCTTTAAATAACAACCAAAAAGAGCGAGAGCGGGAGAGAGGCGCGAATTTCTTGCGCATGCGAGTTTTTGATCGTTTCTTGAGCATGTACGTTGAATGTGGAAGAATTGCAACTCAGATGAATCCACAGAATTTTTTTGTTTTACAGTAAAAAGGTGGTATCTTTACCTACCGATGTACGAAATGAACGAATAAATAATGTAACATGTTATCTGTACGAGCATTAATATCACTCCGTCGGTGTTTATTATCACGTACGAGGCTTGAAAAAAAATATTATATTGAGTTACGTAACATATGAGTTAGTAAACGATGTTTTGGAGCATTAAATTACATTACATGTCATATGTTGATGCAGTATAGGTACATATTACTATGGACCAGTTGAATAGAGCGGTACAGTACAACAGGTATGTGAGAATTTAGTACTTAGTAGTAATGCTAAGAATTACATGAGTTGTATGTAAATATTCTACAATTGATAAAATTTAGTAATAATGTGGTTTGTTTAAATAAAACTGCCCAGAATCGTCAAAAATCTACGGAAGTTATACTGTCATGATACAATTTTCATTCACAAAACACAGTTCGTCACCTCCTCTTCAGCGGGAGTATCAAAAGCTTGTGATATTAAACTTTGTTTTAACCAATTACACTGTAATTAACAGTATACAAAAATGCCACCTGAATTTTTTTTTTTTTTATAAGTCTTCAATTGAGTAATGCAGTTGAAATGCATCAATTAAAACCAATTCGCTCTCCAACGTTGAAGTTTTTTCTTCCTACTAGCTATCTTTTCTTGATGAGCACTTGAAGCACAAATTAATTGCCTTGACGATTGACAGTCTCAGCTCGCAGATGTATGGATGCTGCTCCCGTCATTATCGAATAAACTGATCATCATTTTACGCTGAAGCTTTTAGTGATTCAATTTGATGCTGTACAATTGTTATAAACTTTTGATATCAACTCAAATGAACAGACGAACTTCGATAATATCAATTTTTTTTAATTATCAATAAGTATCATCAAACAATTTGATAAAGTAGACTAATAACAACCAAATTATTTCCTGTTTATTACTATGTATAGGTTACAAACCAAACTCTGTCGGATCTGCATCCAAAAATCAAATTATAACTAATTCTAAATAATCATCATTATGTTCATTTTGTGGATTAATTATATCTCAGAATCACAGCACCGGCCTATAATTCGGAAAACAATCAGATGCAACGTTTTTTGTTAGCATAGCATTAAACCCTTGACTTCCTAATCATATCACCGTAGACCTTGGTATAGAGCTTTTTCATGGTTATGCTCCAACTACATTCATCTTCACTTAGCATGCTTTAATCTTTCTTAATAATCAAGGTGGAGGGATTATATTATTATAGGTAAAAGTTATAGGGATATTATGCAAGTTTCCTTTGTTACAAATATTGATTTATTTAATTATAAGCGGGCAAATGCTTAATTACAAAATAAAGTTACACATGTAAGTGGATGCCTTGCAGGGCAACGTGTGCTCTTGTCATATAAAATTAATTAAGTTAATTAATGTTAATTTAAAATGTGAAAAATTAACAATAAAATTAAAAAAAATAGAAAATCAATATAAAAGTAGAAAATTAACAAAATATACACATTTTTAAATTACAACAATTATATTTCAAGTCTTGTATTACTTTACTGTGTCAACTAGTATCCGCTTTTTCATTGGTACAACGTGTCAAAAATTATATTTTGCTAGCATACCATAAAATATAATTTTTGATAACTGAACACTGATAAGTTTATTGTCTCTGCAGGTACTTTAGACGTGTAAGATAAAAAGATATTTAAAATAATAAAGCTTACAACTTCTTATACACAAAAATTCTAAGCCAAACAAAAAGTTTAATCATATTATCACGATAATTAACTCATTTAATTTAAGCGCTAAATAATGATAAACGTTAATGTTGTTTAATGCGTCGACGTTAAAATATGTATCACTGCTCTCAATGCACAACTGTTGATTTACCAGTAAAATAATTCTTGGGAGTGATGCAGCTGTGACGTGTTAACTGGAAAAAGTGCCTCTTTATTTAAATTTTAAGGAACAGCGATTGTTTCATGCCGTTGTCACGTTAATCTATAACGTCTGCATAGCCAATTCAATTTATTTTTAGAGGATGGACCTAATGTCTTCGAGCAGATTCACTAGAAAAATAATCCCTTTGATTTCAAGCGAGCTTAGCTTTTTGGCCCCTGAGATAAAAAGCACTGTATTTCTTTATCGATCAAATGCCTAGCAAGTGAGATTGTCTTGAGACCTCAGCTAGAACCGCGTAGTGACATCTGTATGTTAAAGCTAAAATTGTGTAAAATCGAAACAAGATTTTTACCGATGGTAAGTGTAAGCCAAGCTTTTCCATACAGTTATGAAGAAACTCTATTATTTGTACAGCTTATCTTAGAAAGATAGTAATTTTACACATTTTTATACTATTTTTTGTTGGTTTTTACAATTTACTTAGAGTTTTGAGGATACTTCAGCTAAACAAACTTTACATTTGAATTTGGTGCATTGTAGTACATAAAAATAAGTAGGTCTGGTCAAAAGTACAAACCACTATTTTTATATACCAAATAATGGTAGAAAATAATACCAGCAACACATAAACGTGTGTATGAACAGGCAAATAGATATCAAAATTATAGCTACATATTTATTTATATGGTATTTAATATTTTTTTAATAGTGAGATACAACAAAGTTGAGCTAGACCTTGTATACATATAAATATTATACAAGATTATCAGAGTAACTATTAACTACAAAAATAACGTTTCTAATTTGTCACTCTTAAGTGCAGGTGTACTAATTATCAAACATACTTCAGTAGAATATATAAAACCAGTCACTGCATGATGTCAGGGTCTTCTAAAAGAGTTGCTGTGTAATAACCAAAAACTAATTTAATTTCATTATTAGAATATGTTGAGAAATTTATGATCTTTTGTGGTGCTTTCAGAACAGTTTTCCACATTCAGTCAGCCTTGGAACATAAAATATGTCAGATCTTTAAAGCTGCAACAATTAAACCAAAAAAGTACATCTTATTTATTGACTTTGGCTAGAACAACTTTTAATACTAAGAAAAACTGTCAGATTGTATTAAGATTTTTTGAAATGGATATAGATGTCAGTAAAGTACAAAACCAGTTGAATTTTTTATTTGCTACATGAAAGTTTATAGTTAAAGCCAAAAAATAGACTTTTCCAAAAATTTTATTTAAGTAACTTATTAAACTTTTTTCAGCTTAAAACTTATATCCATGAAATGCTGGCTAGACTATTAACAAGAATAAAACTAATGTTTTCCAAGTTTTTTATTTTTTTAATCGAATGATTGGCTCAGCAGCTATAAGATTTGACAAAACATCGAATAAAAAGTAATTTCAAACGTTAATCTTTTAGTTACTCATACACTAGAAACGCTTGTGTTATTGTAGTTCTTTTGTAATACTATTCCAGGTTTAGTTAGGTTTAAAACTAAAAGTTAGTCAGACTTGTGTCTAAAAGTGTCATGAGTTAAATTTCTAAAACTAAAATTACATTGATTTTTAACTAGTGTTAGAAATAATGTATCTAATACTAGGACATAACAAAAGATGTCAGATAACATTGACTTGTTTTTATTATTGAAATTCTTAAACATACAAGTTCAAAAAAATAAATTATATTTTCTTCAATAAGTCATCTATTTTTTAACTTAAGATTCGTCTCCATGAAATGTTTACTAATATATTTTCAAGAGATAAAATTAATATATTCGAAACTCTCATTTTTTAAGCTTTTCTACATTTTTTTAATAGATTGTTCGGGACAACAGCAATAAAATTCAACATGATTTTAAATAAAAACAACATTGTGAGACGTAGGTCTTTAAGTAACTCAAACACTGGGATCGCCTATAAATTTTTTTTTACTTCTATTATTTACGATTATTGAATAGTTATATCTACTTCGTGTTTTTGCTCAATACAAGCGAATTGAAGGATCTTACACGCTAATTCTTATGACGATTTATGGCACACTCGTGTCACGTACGGTATCATTTTTTTGTAATGGCTAGTTTTATTTTAATTCAAAATATTTTAAAACCATCAAACTATGTAAAAATTTCAACTAAGATTGAATGGGTCACAAATTTTCTGAGGTGAGAAAGATTAATTTAACTATTAAGTAGAAACTGGAGCCATCTCAAGTCCTAGGAAACACTTTTCACTATTTTAAGGCTAGCATTTCTAGCTCGTCTAGTCAATTATGTATTCAAGTATTCTTTTTGTTTTAGCTAGATATACTAAAAGGAAATATAACTTATCATTGTATTATAAAAGCTACGTCATCAAAGTAATTAATTACGTTTGTCTGTTGGAAAAAGCTGTTAAGAAATTTATGCTTTCCTGTCAGTTTTTCAAAATACGATTCCACACTCAGTCTTTTTTAGAACATGCAGTAAGTCAGACGATCGTTGAAAAGCTGCAACTATCGAGTACCTACAGTTAAAATATTACATAGCTCATCAACTTTTGTAAAAAGAAAAATTGTATACATAAAGAAGGCAGTGCTATTAAATTTTAGTGACTATTTTTTAATTTAAATGGAAAGGGTACAAAAAAAATCGATCGTTTTTTTTCAGAGAAGTTTCAGATTTTTCAGCTCAAAATGTTTATAGACCAGATGTTAACTAAATCATTTTTAAAAATTAAATCAATGTACTTTAATGTTTCATTAGTAAGATTATTTTACTACTGTGATCGAATATTTGGGTCTACGACAGTAAAACTTAAGGAAATTCCAGCTAATAATATTTATAAACGTTGGTCCTTCAGTTATTCATACACTGCGATTGCGTATAATATAATTTTACTTTCATTGCTTATTATATTCGAGTACTTCTATAACTTCCGGG